CGTAGTTGTCAGCTCTGGAGACTGGAGAGCTCGGCTCTGAACAATCCTCACGCTCTTCACACCTGACGCTCTTTCCTCCGATGCCCGGACCTCACTCTGGGGTTGGACCGGTGTCGGTATAAACTCACTTGTACGAGGACTGGCCTGTCTCCTCTCCTGGATTTTTGTGCTTGTGGGACAGAAACCGTATCTGCTTGGTTCACTATTCTCTAATTAACGCCCAGCACAGGGCATGCCCCACAGTGGGCACTGAGAAAATAACTGCAATGTGGGAAGCCTCACTGTTGGGCCAAGGAAGAAAACACACAAAGGAGGGCTCGCGACAACTGATACCTCACACCTCCCAACCAGGCCTGCTCTTCTACTAACAGAATTTACCAGAGTTTTCAAGATAGCCAGGATGGATCTGTCCCTTACCATGTTATTTACAAACAGTAGATCTGGAAGGGCCAGCAAGAAACAAGATATACAGTGTACCACGTGTGCCCTCAAGAGGGAAACAAGATGAAGTCTGGCTTTCAAGGCCACAGCTGAGGGCTAAAGGTGCAGAAAAGCCAGCCGACAGGCATGAAGCTCAAAGGAGAGCTGGACTGGAGAAGGCAGGCACATTACACTGGGAGTCTGGCTCTCAAACTCTTTCCTACCTTTGGAGGCACCTGGTCATCTGCTCAGCTCAGTTCCACATTATTTTTTAATTTTGAGAGAAGGAGAGAACGAGCAAGCAGGGGAGGGGCAGAGAGGGAGGGAGAGAGAACTCCAAGTAGGCTCTGCACTGTCAGGGCAGAGCCCAAGACAGGGCTTGAACTCACAAGCCATGAGATCACAACCTGAACTGAAATCAGAGGCATGACTGACTGAGCCACCCAGGCGCCTCCACTTCCCCCTTCTTTCCTCCACTCTTTAATGAAGAAACTTACAAGTAGGTATTTGCATGCATTCATTCATTCTTTTCATCCACAAACATTTCCTGAGCACCTGCACTCCACGCCCACACCCTGTGCTAGGGGCCCAGAAGGGACCCAGACAGCCCCAGGCCCTGCAATCCACAGAGGGCATGCTCATAAGCCCCGAATGTCACCACAGCCACAAAGTGCTTTGATCTTGCTCTCCAGAGAGGCTCAGAGCTGGAGCGGCCTCAGACTTGCTCTGAACGGCCCCTCCTGAGCTCAGAGTCCTAGCCACCATTCACCTCTGCAGTGAAACCTGGTGCAGGACCTCATCACAGTTCAGCTCAAAACAGAAAAGCTGCCTGTTATTTACGTCTCATTTTCTTCTGAAAAGAATCTAAAGTAGCTGCGTGGAAGTTGGTGGTGGGGGGAAAGGAGGGTGCTGCTTCTCAGAAATGACCTGAAAACAAGATGCCATTTTTTGCCTACCAAATTAAAGGCCAAGGTTACTCAACCTAAGCAAGAAGGCAGAAGGCACTGCTCTGTCACTCAGAGCTCTGGTGGGTGTGTATATGCTCAATAAACTGTGAGAAGATGTGGTCCAGAGGATCTTTACAAAGGGTCACGCCTCTTGGCCAGTGACTGAGTCATGTATAAATGGTCACTGTCACATTATTTATACCACTGAAAATCTGGAAATAACCTCACATCAGGTTAACAGGATGGTTACACAAAATATATATTGACAGGAATAGCATTCAGCTATTAAAATTATGTTTAAGCAGGTTTTAGTCACATGGTTTTTGCAACATTCAGGCTAAAAAAAATCCCACAGGAGCACTAGTTGGCTGTCAGTGGAGCGTGTGACTCTTGACCTCGGGGTCATGAGTTCAAGTCCCACTTTGGATGTGGAGATCACTTAACCTGAAAGCAGGCTCCAGCCTCTGAGCTGTTGGTATAGAGCCCAACATGGGGCTCAAACTCACGAACTGTTGAGATCATAACCTGAGCTGAAGTTGGACGTTTAACTGACTAAGGCACCCAAGCGCCCCAAAAACACAATCTTTAAAAAAAAAAAAAAAAAAAAAAAAGTCCTCGGGCGCCTGGGTGGCTCAGTTGGTTAAGTGTCCATCTCAGGTCATGATCTCACAGTTCGTGAGTTCGAGCCCCGAGCTGGTTCTGTGCTAATGGTGCAGAGCCTCCTTGGAATTCTTTCTCCTTCCCTCTCTGCCCCTCCCCTGCTCTCACACACACACACACACACACACACACACACACGTGCTTTCTCTCTCTCTCAAAAATAAAATAAGTCCCATTATACCCTACATTCCAAATGCACTCCACCATGTGAAGATAAAATAGAATGAGGCAGGTACAACGATCACCACTCTGTTCTAGAAGTGGGAAACTGAAGCTTAGGAGAGAGAGGCTCAGAGTTATAATGGACCCAGAGGTCACCACACACACTCATAACCTCAATGTTATACTGCCTTGCTACGAGCAGAGACAAAGTAGGAAATATGCTAGTTAGCAAAATAAAAATCACTTCAAAGAGATCTGGCTCCCCACCCCAGAGCCCACCAGTTTAGAACAACACAAACCACTCAAACTCTAGTCCAGCCAAGTATTCTATTTCTCCTTTAAAAAATGTCAAGTGATTCCTGAGCTGGACTCTCACCTTTGAAAGTAGACCAGTGTTGACAAGTATGCAAAGACTGTAACTAACGAAAAGAAAAGGACAAAGAAATTCTCAAACGCAGAGGCAAATTATACGGTGGCAGCAGCAGTGGGCAAGTCTAAGAGACCCACGGCCCCCTGCCGCGAGGTCCCTTCTCTATCAGCTTTGCCAACCGCACCCTCTACTCACAGAGGGGTTCTGACAGAGCCCTCTGCATTCACACTCACCCTGCCTGGTCACAAGCAGCAGGGAGACAGGGTCTTTTCTCTAGCCCAGCACTTGAGTGGCACATGACCTTGACTCTGGGCATTTGCTGCTCTCTGCCAACCACTCTTACCGAGGGAAGATGGCACAGGACATTCCCGTGACTGTTGTCTGACAGTCAGAGAAAAGATGGGAGGCGCCAGACAAGAAGTGCAGCTGGGCCGGGGACCGAGCACAGGCTAACGGCGGGGGTGGGGGAGACGCGGGGCTGCAGAGCAGACGGGCAGGCAGGTCTTGCCCACAATGCTGCCCATTATCACAGGCTGCGCTTAGGGGCCTCAGGTTCCCATCTGCTGAGTGGAATAAGGAAATGTCACAGGGCTTTTGAGAAATTCAGATTTTTAAATGGACACAATGCCATTATTAGTAACGATAATATAGTTGACCCTTGAACAACACAGGGGTTTAGGGGCACTGCCCCCCTGCCCCTCACAAACTTGAAAATCCACATTTAACTGGCTCTCCAAAAACTTCACTAGGAATAGCCTACGCTGATCAGAAGCCTTACTAATAACAAAAACAGTCGATTAACACATATTTCATGTTATGTGTACCATACACTGTATTCTTACTATAAAGTAAGCAAACAAAAGAAAATGTTATTGGGGCGCCTGGGTGGCTCAGTCGGTTAAGCCTCCGACTTCGGCTCAGGTCATGATCTCATAGCTTGTGGGTTCAAGACCCGCTTTGGGCTCTGTGCTGACAGCTTGGAGCCTGGAGCCTGCTTCAGAATCTGTGTCTCCCTCTCTTTCTCTGCCCCTCCCCTATTCGCACTTTGTCTCTCAAAGATAAGTAAACATTAAAAAACAAACAAATAAACAAAGAAAAAAGAAAATGTTAAGAAAATCACAGGGAAGAGAAAATCCATTTCACAGTACCACCCTGTATTCATCCAAACAAAAAGTTCATGTGTAAGTGGACCCGCACATTTTAAATCTGTGTTGTTCAAGGGCCATTTGTAATTAAAATCCACGTTGGGCCATGCTTAAACATTTACTAGGTTTGGTGACCCTGGAAAAAATGACTTAGCCTGTCTAAGACTCAATATCCTCACATGAAAGTGGATGATCACAGGAAGACCTGCTCTCACAAGGGCATTATGAAGATTTAACGGACTTTGACGCACATAAAACAGCTTAATAATAATGAATCCACAATACGTGCTGGGCCTTCGTTTAATCCTGGCGACCCTATGAGGCAGACTTAGGGTTCTGCCCATTTGTCATAATGAAGAGTGGAACAGGTGCCGCAGTAGGGTGAGTTTTCTCACCAGACTATCTGGTACCAGCTGGAAGGTGCTAGACCGCACTTATGGGTCACCTCTGCCCTTCCCCTCACCTCTCTTCTCTCACAGGCTGCTGCCTTTCTTTCTGAATGACTGTGGTCTGTGTTCTTTACCACCGATAAGGCAGTGGCACCAAAAAACCCAAACAACAACAACAAAACCACTGCTTCTCTTCTTTTGCCCTTCCTACAAATTATTTTTAAACATCTGTGGTCATGACAGCAGCAAATCAACAAGTACTCAAGTGCATGGGCCGTTATCGGAACTCATTTCCCTGTGGCTGTCTCCCCCTCAGTGGTCCTTGTCATCGACGGACACCAAAACACCCACCGGGGAAGGCCAGGCCCACACAGCAACGGCTGCCTCTGACCGGGTTCGCCAAGGTTTTAAGTTCCAAAATAAGTTTCGTCTGGGGAGCCTGAGTGGCTCAGTGGGCTGAGCATTCAACTTCGACTCAGGCCACGATCACATGGTTCGTGAGTCTAAGCTCCACTCGGGCTCCTTGCTGTCAGCGCAGAGCTGGCTTCAGATCCTCTGTCCCCTTCTCGCTCTGCCCCTCCCCTGCTTGCACACACACTCTATCAAAAAAAAAAAAAAAAGAAAGAAAGGAAGGGAGGAAGAAAGAAAGGAAGGACGGACGGAAGAAAGGAAGGACAGAACTGACCACCAAATCACGCTGAGGTCTAGAGACCAAGACAACTGCGTGTCATAAAAGCAGACAGGGAAGTGAGGAGTGTGGTGGGGGCAGGGAGAACTAAAGAAGGAGGGTCAAAGAAATACAAGTTTTCTAGAGTCTACAACAGTTGCCAAATCATCAAGACACCTTGCAAAAGAATCCATACAGAGATGAAGAATGAGGTAGAAGATACAAGAAAGTTCTAGGGGTGCCTGGCCAGCTCAGTCGGTGGAGCATGTGACCTCTGATCTCAGGGTTGTGGGTTCAAGCCCCACGTTGGGCACAGACGTTACTAAAAAAGGAAACTTGAAGGAAAGAAAGAAAAAGTTCTAGAAGAATACACAAGAAATGTCAGTTTCCTCTGAGGCATCTGAATATTCTACAGATCTGCCTCACCTTTACAATTAAAAAAAGGAGAAAACAGAACTATGTCAAAGATTCTTGGATACCTGATCATCAGGAATAGAAAGTTATTAAACTTTCCTCCATTTCTACAGAGGCCACTAAGTGAGGGGACCTCAAGGCCAGGAGATATCTAACAGGGCTGGGACCCAAACTGCTTCCTTCCAGATCAACCCTGGAGACTTCAAGGCTTAAGTGACTGAGAAAATTCTACTGGCAGGAGAAAGGAGTCGTGAACTCCAAACTTGCCTGGCTAGATTTCTGAACCTAGAACAATTAGTCACCTTAGAAAGGATCCTAATCCCCCAACAGAGATCCTTGACCTTGCCAGCTGCTGGCAGAGACAGGAGCTGCTTGCTCCGTGGACATGGGGAGTCCAAGGAGTGGAAACACTTCTCGATCCTTTAGATGCTCAGGGCACAGTCCTGCAGCCAAGTCTGGCACTTCCAGGGATGTCCAGGGACTTCGGGTCTTGTGGCACAGTGGGGAAAAGGACAAAGACTATGCAAATTGGCACCATCTTGGTGGCTTTAGGGGAGCCTAAAGAAATTAATGAAGCTACAGATTAAGAACTAGCAAAATTCTTCAAACTTGGGACAGGTGGCTTCAGTGATCGAGCCACATTTACCAAGCCCTTGCTGTGTGTGTGGCCTGTGCAGGACAGTCCAAAGATAAGGGAGCCCATAAGACAGCCTTTCAAGTCGGCTCTGTTGTGAGGAGTGGGATTACTGGGGAAGGAAGCCCAAGTCAGCCAGGAGGAGTCAGGCTCCTGACTGAGCAAAGACAGTAATGTGGGAAGGGCTGAAGCAGGCAGAAGGAATGGAAATGCGTGTAGAAATGAAGGGGTGACAACATGGGGTGACAGCAAGTAGTTCAGTAGGAACGTAGGGCTCGGGAAACCTGGGAGACTTGGTGGGCTGAGTGTCCGGCTACTGATTTTGGCTCAGGTCATGATCTCTCGGTTCGTGAGTTCTGGCCTCGCATCGGGCTCTGCGCTGACAGTGCAGAACCTGCTTGAGATTCTCTCCCTTTCTCTCTGCCCCTCCCCACTCACGCTCTCTCTCAAAATAAATAACTTAAGGAAAAAAAAGAAAAGAAAAAGAGGCCAGCAGGTCCTAGGTCTAGGATGCCAATCCAAGGAGTTTAACTTGTATCCTGATGGCAAAAAAGATTCCTGAAAAGGATTTCAGTTTTGAGACAGATCAGGCTGGTGACCGGAAATGGATGAGGAGGAGCAGCTCTGAAGGCAGTGACTGGTAAAAGGACTATGCCTTGGGTGAAGGCCGCTGGGGAGAGGCAGTCCCGTGGGAGAACTCCAGGTCCTCTGAATAGGAGGGAGGTATGTGGCTGAACTCAGATGCCACAGAGCACCACAGGGTGCCTGTCTGCAGCTTTAGGTGAAAGGAACTACCCGTCAAGCACTTGAACTTTGACAAAAGCTCTGCAGAAGAGGAAACAGCTAACAGGTTGGAATAACACTAACAGCTCCATGCAGAGCACTGTTTTCCAACAAGTTTGTTCTGCGTGTAGGCAGACGGCATACTGGCTCATCTTTACCAACCCCCCCCCCCCCAGGTTCAGCAGGGGGTAAAGACTTGCAAGAGGCCACCATCTACATCTATCCCTTTAGCCCCTCAGTACCTGGCCCCAGGCTACCATTTGTATTTCTTAGTAAGGTCCTGCCCAGCTCCAGAGAGAACTCAAAGGCTTGCTTGGTGTGTGTATTTACATGCAAATACGCCCCCTACAGTCTGCCTACCACTGTTGCCTGACAGAGGAAATTCTTTTTTGCAGAGCAAATACCTTAAGTGGAGGCCATCCCAGCCTTGCACAGCATCGCCTCCCTGATTCATCAAGGCTTTGCTGTTCTCACTGGTGATATGTGGTATTTCTCTCCTGGCAAGGGTCTCTGGGCGCCCTTGAGAATCTAGGGGAATCTATTCGGCTCTCTTCTAGAGGCACTGTACGCAGAAAATACCAGATTCAGACCTCCCCATCATTTGAAGGGATGATGAGGACGCACTTACTGTTAAACACGCCATTCTACGGACCCAGCACAGATCAAAAGGCCTGCTGCAACGATTACTCATTAGCTATCAAATGGTGACATAATACCAGGTGCCAAAAATTGGTTCTTTTGGAGATTGTTTTTGCTTTTCGTTATTTTTAACTTTTGAAATACTTTTTTGACATATAGAAAAACCAGACAGAATTCTTGTATAACTTCACCTAGATTCCCCAAACGTTAACAGTCTTCCACGTTACCAGTATTTCTTTATATCTAGCCATACTTTTTTCCTGAGTGATCTAGAATTTGTCCCTAAATACTTCAGAGTGTCTTTCCTAAAACAGGAATATTCTCTTACATCACCACAAAACGATCCTGCAAACTAGGAAATTAACATTGATAGGGTATTATCTAATCTACAGACCTTTTTCAAATTTTACCAACTGTCTCACTTATGTCCTTGGGAGCAAAAGAAAACAAAAATCTTCTCCCGCTCTTGGATCCAATCCAGAACCTTACATTCCACTTAGTTATCCAGTTTTGCTGTTCTCTAATCTGGAACAAGAATTCTTCCATCCACAGGGACACTTGGAAGAGCACAAGCCATTTACTTTGTAGAGTATTCTTCTATTAGAGTTTGTCTGATGTTTCCTCATAATCAGACTCCCGTTACCCATGTTGGCCAGGAAGTTGGGAGTGCTGGTGCAACCTTCTCAGTACATCCTCTCAGGAGGCACAAGCTCTCTTTGTCCCATTTCTGGAACGTCAGCTTTGATCTCTTGGTTGAGGTACAATCTGCCAGGATTCTTTAAAGTCTCTCTCTGCAATGAGTTAAAAACTATCTGGGGCGAGAGGGTGGGGGTGGGGATGGGGGTGATGCCTGGGTGGCGACTCAGCCGGTTAAGCACCTGACTCTTGATTTCAACTCAGGTCATGACCTCAGGACTTATGAGATGGAGTCCTGCACTAGACTTGGTGTTGACAGCGCAGAGCCTGCTTGAGAGTCTCTCTCTCTGCCCTTGCACCACTCATGCACTCTCTCCCAAAATAAATAAATAAACATTTTAAAAAATAAAATAAAGACTATCTTGGGAAGAGATATCGCTTCTGTTTCACAGCAAACTTCCGATTAGTTTTAGCATCCATCAGGGATTTTTAGGACTATGGCCATGGTCATACCCAGATTGTGCTTTCTTCTTCTTCTGGGGGAAAAAAAAAGAACTTTCCCCTCCTCCCACCTATCTACTTATTCACTTATATATCAGGAAGACTCATGGGCTCTTTTTTTATTCTGTGGGTTATAACCCGTTTTTTTCCTGACCCATATTCTTTTACACTTATTTTTTAAAATTAATTTATTCAAGGGTTATAATCTATTATTTACTTGATCCTCCAACTGTCCCAGATTTCACCAGGAGGAGCCCCTTCAAGTTGGCCCCTATGTCCTTCTGGGGTGACCTGTCATTCTTTGAGTGCTTCCTTACTTTCTGGCACAGCAGAATGTTCCCAGCTCACCTGTAATTTTCCTACCCAAGCCCCAAAACCAGCCATTTCCCTGAGGCCTGGATCTTGGGAGATTAACAATCAGGATCTGGGCCTGAGGAGTATTCATGACTTGCTACCAGAGTGTGTGCTCCTCAGCCCTCTTAACGACCAGAACTAGGAGATACAGCCATATCACGCAATGATACACGCGTACACGCATCTATTTCTGTGTCTACACAGAAAACCCAGTGTTCGCCTGGTGACTCCAATCTCCATCCGATCCCGCAAGGCTCCTCCTAGCCTCTCCCACCTCCCTTCCTTACACGACTCCCTTTTCTGGCAATAAAAAAACCCTGATTCTCATCATTCACGATATATTTACCAATTTGCTCCATTCCAGAACAGTCACTAGTTTCAGAATTGCTAACCCATACACCATCGTGAAAAACACGAAAAACAAACCTACTAACTTGAGTACAATATTTGTTTATAGTTCTTTTTTCTTTAGTCTGAGGATATATATTCAAAAGCTACCTGGGTTAGTTCCTTTTTCTTGCCTCAGTGTAGTAATGGCCCCATTTGAAATAAATACTTAATATGCTATAAAGTAAGAAGATAAATGCGTAACTCAAAGCTGTGGCGCAGGACATGGTATCGCCTTGTCCCACGGCAGGTCCCCCCTGAATGGCTGAATCTTCAGAAACTGGGGAGCTGCACAAACATGCAGAGATGCCAGCCTTGTCTAGTTATTCTGATCCACTAAATCTGAGCTAGAACCTGCGAATCTGTATTTTTCAAATGTTCCCTAAGGGATTCTGATATCTTATCAGTGGGGGAATGACTTGCTATTAATAAAAGCGTAGGGGTACCTGGCCTGGCTCAGTTGAAAGAGCCTGTGGCTCTTGATCTTGGGGTTTGTGAGTTCGAGCCCCACAATGTGTGTAGAGATCACTTAAAAATACAATCTTAGAGAGAGAGAGAGAGACAGAAAATTAAAGGCTGAAAAGCAGGACCCTGAAGCTCTTCCCAGCAGCCAGCTCCCGGCAAGCTCCAGCTTTTCTGTGCCATGGTCTTGGCGCCACTGGCCCGGGACAGGGACTGCTCATCCACCTGTGATATTCTTGCCTCTCTTCAGCCTCTAGCAAACCTTCTTTTTCTTTAAAAACAAATTTTTTAAAATATTTTTTAAAATATTTTATTTATTTCTGAGAGAGAGAGAGAGAGAGAGAGAGATACACAGCGTGAGCAGGGGAGGGTCAGAGAGAGAGGGAGACACAGAATCTGAAACAGGCTCCAGGCTCCGAGCTAGCAGTCAGCACAGAGCCCGACGTGGGGCTCGAACCCACGAACCATGAGATCATGACCTGAGCTGAAGTCGGATGCTTAAC